TTGGCTTCGGGGTGGGGCACGGGTCCAGCCTCCCGGGGTGTCGGAGCTGGACGTCATTGCTTGCGGCGCTCTCACGGGTCCCTGTGCCTTCTGTGCCCTGCCAGGAAACAGGCTCGCTCTCCCCGTGGGAAACCTCCTCGCGACAGGATGAGTCTGCAGTGGACTGCGGTTGCCACCTTCCTCTACGCAGAGGTCTTTGCTGTGCTGCTTCTCTGCATTCCCTTCATTTCTCCCAAAAGGTATGGCCTATGGAGCACACGAAGGAGCCCCGTGGCCAATGTGTGCAGAGTTGGTGGACCCTGAAATTGGGGCCAGGTGGAACAGGTAGAACCTGTCTGGGGTGGGGGTGGCGGGAGTTGTGTTTATTTCTGCCAATCCTCCACTCTCTTCGGCTTTGTCATATCTCACCTAGCTCCTTTCCTGTGTCCCCTGCCTTCTGGTCTTCAGAATGCCCCAGAGGGAAGAAGCTCTAGTCATGGGTCAGGAAATGATGCCTCCCCACTTACCCTCGGGTCCCTGGTGTGCGGGGATGGCAGTGTGGGATCCAGAAGACTTGCACCACCAGGCCATATTGCTGCTGACTTGGTGACTCTTGTCCTCCTAACTAGTCTCCCTGGCATTGCGCAGTAGCCTCATGAGCATTACTCAGCCTACAAAGGATGAAGCCATATTCCCTGCTAGTGAACTGGCGACTTGTTAAAAGTTAATGGGAAATTAATTTTTAATTACGTATGACACGTGAGCACATTATCTCTCTTTTAATTAGGATATTACAAATACGGCTAAGTCTCTTCAGGTATTTTGAAAACTTTTATTTTCATGAAAAATGCAGACCCCTGATGTGATAGCATAGAAAGTACACAACACCACCAGCTAAGGAATGTTCTTGCCAGAAACCATGCTTGCATGCAGTTGAGAGGATATGCAGAGGCAGAGGGCCTCTTGGAGCTGCGATCTGGGAAATTTTATAGGACGAACAACCTGGTTTCTGCACAAAGTAGATTGGAAAAGAAAAAAGAGGGAGAGAGGAATAAATTTACAAGGGAGACAAGATGCTTATCTGCTAAATGTCGAGTCAGTACCGTGTTGGGTTCGGAATCAGGTTGAATCAAACAAGCCTACTGTTAAATGTAATAAACTTTTGAGCTCAAACTCTGATAATGAGGCCTTGTTGATTCTAGCAACATGTACACACTTCTGAAGGCGCTTCTCTTTTAGAGCTACAGTCTGAAGTATTTGTGGATGGAAATGATATTTCCTAATAATCCAGGGTGTAGACAAAACCAAAGATTTGTTGTGTAGAAAGACAGTGCAAAGAACATCTGCATTACAGATGTGGCAAACGTTTGGAATACTACAAAGGAAAGTACAATGAATGTAAAGTAAATTTCTCTCTTCAGAGACTACCAGTGTTTAAGACTGGTTTTCTAGACATTTATATATATGGGCAAGCATCCTAAAAACATAACACAGAACATAGCCGGGTGCGGTGGCTCACGTCTATAATCCCAGCACGTTGGGAGGTAGAGGCAAGAGGATTGCCTGAGCCCAGGGGTTTGAGACTAGCTTGGGCAACTTGGCGAGACCTCATCTCTACAATAAATAAAAACAATTAGCCAGTGTGGTGGTGCGTGCCTGCAGTTCCAGCTACTTGGAAGGCTGAGGCAGAAGGATCACCTGAGCCCAGCAGGTCAAGGCTGTGGTGGCCATGAGTGTGCCACTGCACTCCAGCCTGGGCAACAGAGTGAGACTCCAACTCAAAAAACAAAACAAAAGACGCTCTTGAACAGATGTCAGAAATCGGAGAATTGCAAGCATCAGAGGCTGACTGTATGGGCTGTTTGGCTATCAGAGTAGAGTACAAAACTGGGTTTTTGTTCTTAGAGCCCTGGATCCCAGGTGTGTGAGCTTTCTCCTCAGCCCCATCCTTTTGTTTTCTTCACAGATGGCAGAAGATTTTCAAGTCCCGCCTGGTGGAGTTGGTAGTGACCTATGGCAACACCTTCTTTGTGGTTCTCATTGTCATCCTTGTGCTGTTGGTCATTGGTGAGTGAGCTGTGTCTGAGGGCTGCTACCTGACCTAGACCCTGGACTCTGCTGCAAAGCCCCGTGCCGCTTTCAGAGTATAGCGTATGGTTTTGCCTTCTGAGACAGGCCAATTAAACGCCCTGTCTTTCTCTTGGGAAAGAGGCTCCCTTTGTCCATGCTGTTGACTGCTAGCAGGGCCTTCGCTTTGAGAAGTGCCTCTAGCAGTAGGCATGGGGTTATACCAGGCAGCCTTTATGCACCCTTATGATGAATATCTCACATCTCTGAGACTGCTCCTTGGGTCATTCTAGAACTAAGTCTAGAGAAACTATCTTGCCTTTGACCTTGGTCTGAGTAGTGCTCCCACTTGTCATTTAAACAGCAGAAATGGCTGGACACAGCCTCTAATGGAAGGTTGAGCAACCAAGTAGACAGTGAGCCTAGCTAGGAAGGGAAGTCCTGCTGTTTCCTGTAGTAGGAGGGGGAGACCGAGATGCCTGGCACTGTGTCTTGGGGACAAATCCCAGACCTCTCTGGATCTGGGCTAGACCGTAGGTTTTTCCAGGTCCTTCCAACTTTGTAGTTTTATAAACCCTGGTGTTGAGGTGCATGCCAGCAAGGACTTGAAAGAGAAACTGGTACAAGGGCAAGTTCAGGGATGGGGCCAGGGCATGTGGTATTAAAATGGAAGGCGAACATTTTACCATGAGGTGGTAGCATGGCCATTTGGACACGAGGAATCAATAGAGCTCTTGTTTGGCTGTTAGATGTTTGTTGTTTTGCTGTGGTAAGAAATCAGTATGTCCCCCTGCTTGGACTTTGGAGTAATGACTTGGCTTTGCTTGGACAGCAGTCTTGTCTCAGAGCTGTGATGCTCCCTTAGGTGCAGAGCACTACTTTCCTCCTGAGTCCCCGGTAGAAATTCAGCAGGGGGTATGGGCCGTGGTTCAGGCAATGTACAAAGCCCCACCTATTAACTGCAACATGAGGCATTTCTCCTACCTAACTGCTCAGGGCCTGACAGGATATGTTCAGGCAGGACTGCCTCTGAATAGGCCGGGTGTGGCCTGCCAGTTCCCAGCCACATAGGGTTAGGTACCAGCTGCCCGAATACCTTGCTGTTCTTGAAATACCTGGCAAGACCCCAAGAGGCAGCTCTTTCCAATCAGGATTCTTTTCCTGAGTAGCCTCTGAATCAGGAGCAAGTAGGGAAATAAATGTATCATCCTTGGGGCTAAGCTTCGTAAAAAGTGAGCTACTGATGTTTTGAACCGAGCCTGTGTGGTTTTGCTTTTGGGTTTGAGGTGGAGGCAAAAATTGGGAAAGGGAGGGACCATGTTGAGGATTATTCCCTCAGGGCCTTGCTCCTCCTCCAAAGCAGAACCACAAACGTGTTTCTTTCCTAGTGCAGCTTAGTGGGCCAGAGAGATCCTTTGCAGAATCCCATGGCTGACAAGGCCTTCATGCTTTTTTGGGATCAGAGAAGTGCTTGGAAATTCTAGAGGGACATACGGCTGTGACGACTGGCTGCTTCCCACCTTCATGTTAAGAAGCATAATCTAGAGAGAGCTGCAGAGCCTTTTGCAAATATAAGTGTTAGTTAATTGCAGATGCTAACTAAAGGGTAACGGGCATAGCCAGCCAGAGCTGCAGCCTTGCCTCAGAGGGGCCTTGAGTGGATCCCACTCAGATGAGGAGTTGCTGAGGGTGCAGGATCCACTCACCTGGGCTGAGGCCTGAGATGGGGAGGCCCTAGTTTTGCTGTAGGACTTGGGCTTGTGTTGCTCAGTGTCCTCTGCCTCCACTCTCCTCTTTGCTATTGGCCAAGGTGGTCCTTAGAATGGTGGGATTTCTGCGTTCAGATAATGTAGAAAACATGTTTTTAAATCTTGTTTTTCTGATTACAAAGATAATACATACTTATTTTTAAAATTCAAAAATTGAATTTAGAAAGTTAAAGTTCCCCATAATCTTGACCATCATGAACCATCATGTAACCATCATGAATACTTTGTTGTGTGTTTCTGCAATCATTTTCTATGCTGACGTCTTTTTAAAAATGTTTATAGCAGTGAGATAGTATACACAGTGTTTTGGATCGTGTTTTTTCCTACTTATTACACCTTAGATGTCCTTTTATAGCAGTTTCATTCTTTTGAAAAATTGAGTAGTATTCTCTCATATGGTTGTACCATAATTTAATTCCTTTGTAGTACACATCCTCATATCATTGCAAATTTCTGCAAATGCTTCTGTGGGATAAATTTCATAGAGGTGGAGTTGCTGAACCCAAAGATGTGAAGTTTCCATTTTATAACAGGTGTGTTGTTTATACCCCTGCTGACAGTGTTTGAGAGTGTTCACTTGATGGTACAGAGTGAACACAAAGACACCAAGAGGGTAGGCAGATTTTTATAATACAAGATCAGCTTTAGCCAGGCGCAGTGGCTCATGCCTGTAATCCCAGCACTTTGGGTGGCAGAGGTGAGATGGTTGCCTGAGCCCAGCCTGGGCAACTTGGTGAGATCTCGTCTCTATAGAAAATAAAAAAAAAAAAATTACCCCGGTGTCCATTCCTGTAGTTCCAGCTACTTGGAAGGTTGAGGCAGAAGGATCATTTGAGCCCAGCAGGTCAAGGCTGCGCTGGCTGTAAGGGTGCCATGGCACTCCAGCCTGGGCAACAAAGTGAGGCTCTGATTCAAAAAAAAAAAAAAAAAAATCAGCTTAAAAACCAAGCAGAAATTAAGAACCAAATGATGCTCCTACAGTGAAACCTTGTCTCTCTTACATGGAGTCTATTACAAGCCTTCTTTAGGTAGATCTTTGTGTACTGCCATAAAAAAGATATCTCAAGCCGGGCTTTCTGGCTCAGCCTGTAATCCTGCGCCTTTGGGAGGCTGAGGTGAGTGGATTGCCTGAGCCTGCGGGTTCGAGACCTGCCTGGGCAACTTGGTGAGACCTCATCTCTCTAATAAAACAAACAAAAAAATGAACCGGGCGTGGTAGTGCGCGCCTGAAGTTCCAGGTACCTGGAAGGCTGAGGCAGAAGGATCGCCGGAGCCCAGCAGGTGGAGGCTGCAGTGGCCGGGAGTGGCCGCTGCACTCCAGTCTGGGCGACAGAGTGAGACTCAAACTCAAAAAAAAAAAAAAGATATCTCAGAGTAAATGGGGAAAAGCAGTAGGTTTGGTGTGGTTCCATTTCTACATTATAGACACATGTATCCACATAAATATCTTTTGAAACTGGAGCACTGGTATGTCTCATGGTGGCTCTTCCAGGAGCAGAGGCTATTCATTCATTCAACTTATATTTCAGCACTCTCTCTGCACCCAGAACTGTACTGGGCCCTGGGGTTGTAGTAGAAAAGACTTCTGCTCTTGTGGAGTTTGGAGTCTAGTTTGGGAGAGATGGACAAAAAAACCAGTTCAGAGATGGATGTGTTGCAAAGCAGATGACATGGGATAATGTGACTGAAAGTAGCTTTAGATAAAGTGTACACATTTTTGTCAGATATACTGCTGGAGGTGATTATTATGTTGTGAGATCCTCTCCCTTTCTACATTTCTGGTGTGTTTGAACTTTAAATGAGCATGAATACTTTTGGTAATCAGCATTAAACATTACAAGTAGTACAGTCTGTTGTAAAGCTTACGAACAGAAACCCTGGACCCTATAGTGGGCATCCTGTGGGTCTTGACTTCTAGGCATCTCATGTCTCTGGAGTAGGCATTTCCATAATCAGGACACCCTGGCTTACCATTGACTAATGGGCCAACTTGAGATAAACAGTACAGGTCACAGTTACGGGCACTGTGGGAAAAGCAAGCTACTCCCATTGCCAGCAGCTCCTTGGGCTTGATTAGCAAGCTTGTGGTCTGGGTAGGATGGACCAGGGGTTGACAGGCCAGAAGCTGGAAGAGAGAGTGTGTCTGAGGATGGGAGCTTCTGATAAAGCGTCCCACAAGGTACATGTGTGTGTGTCGGGTAACTGGGGAGGTGGGTGTAGGGAAGTGAGGCAGACCTGTCTGATGCTGGCTTCCTTCTATAGCCTGGTCTCATCAAGTGCTAGCTAAATGCCCGTGTCTCCTCTCTGCACCACAGATGCTGTACGTGAGATTCGGAAGTATGATGATGTGACTGAAAAGGTGAACCTCCAGAACAACCCTGGGGCTATGGAACACTTCCACATGAAGCTTTTCCGTGCCCAGAGGAATCTCTACATCGCTGGATTTTCCTTGCTGCTGTCCTTGTGAGTGAGGAGGGGCCAGGGGCTGTAGAGGGAGTCCTAGGCTAACCAGGTACATGGAACTGTGCAGGTTTGGTCTCTCTCCCTGTGGCTTTGACTCTTCCTCAGTCTGTGGCCTGGACCCCAGAGACCCTGTCTATGTTAGAAAAGCCACACTGTTTTCCGCTGACCTCTAGAGGCAGCATGGAGAGTGGAAGAGGACTGACTGGAACATTAGAAGACCCCAGTATACCACAGGCTCTCCTTAGGCAAACATACTACCATCTCATGCTCTGCCTGGAGATGGGAGTAATGACAAGGCCTTTCCTTCCTCTGGGTGAGGATCTTTGGAGCCAGCTTAAAAGGGAGCAGTCAAATGGGGGCTCTTTTTGTCTGGGGTGCTGACCTGGGGACAGTAGGTAGTAGTGGCTAGGCTGAACCTCTCCCCAGGCTGTTTCCTGGTGAAATCTGTAATGGGGGCACATCGTACTCCATGGCAGCCCAAGTATTTCTGGTGTTTTTTTTGCAAGACTTAATATCTTGTTCAGGGTCAGAAGGGTAGCTAGTTGGGCAAGACTAGACTACTATGAAGTGCCTTTTTAAGTCTGGGGTCCTGTTTGCTGTTTCCAGCTTCACACGGGTTCTGATCAGCTGGGTCTGGCTGAGAGGTGGGCATAAGCTCAGACCAAGGGCACATGAAGGTATTGGAAAGGTGTTTGCTGTGTGGTTCAGTGTTGAGAAGCCACGTGGCTTAGTTCATTTGTGTGCTGTTAAAACAAAATACGTGAGACTGGATCATTTATAAATAGTAGAAATGTATTTCTCACAGCTTGGGAGGCTGGTAAGTCCAGGACCAAGTAGGTTTGATGTCTGGTGAGGGCTGCTCTGTTTCCAAGATGATGCTTTTTGTGTCCTCTGGCAGGGAGGAAGGCGTGTCCTCACATTGTGAAAAGGAAAGAAGGGCAAAAACAGGGCCTAAGCTAGTTGCCTCCAGTCCTTTTATACGACACTAATTCATTCATGAAGGTGGAGCCATCGTGACTTAATCTCTTCTCAAAAGGCCCCGCCTCTTAGCGCCACCACAATGGGGATTAAATTTCAGCACATGGATTTTGAAGGCCATTCAGACCAGAGCACCAAGGTGAGAATGTGGATTCTTAGGCCAGGCTCATGGACAGGGATTCCCCACTTGATTTTGTGCCCAAAGACTCAAGACTCTCCATGCCTAGGGGATTCTTGCCCTCTAGTCACCTGGTGTGTCCTGCTTCACTAGGCATTAGGATAACTACTTGTCTGGGTTTAGCTTTTCAGAAAATATCTTTAATTACTGAGATGATCTTAGATTCTCTGGGTCTAAGTTGGAAAGGAGGGGTGGGTAGAACTGGAATAGGCAAATATCTTTTCTTTTTTTTTTTTTTAATTGGAGTCTCACTCTGTCACCCAGACTGGAGTGCAGTGGCCGCTCCTGGCCACCGCAGCCTCGACCTGCTGGGCTCCGGCGATCCTTCCGCCTCAGCCTTCCGAGTAGCCGGAATTACAGGCGCGCGCTACCACGCCCGGCTAATTTTTTGATTTTATTGTATTGTAGAGGTGAGGTCTCGCCAAGTTGCCCAGGCGGGTCTCGAATCCACAGGCTCAGGCAATCCACTCACCTCAGCCTCCCAAAGGCGCAGGATTACAGGCTGAGCTGCCGAGCCCGGCTAGCAGATATCTTTTCAAGATAATGTATTTGATCACAGGTGTGATCTGCAAGCTTGCCATCTCCATCTTCAAACTTAGGAAAGTCAGGAAATGAGAAGGCTGGAAGGAGTCAAATACATATCATAGATTTTTCAGGAAGCTCCAAAAAAGTATGATCTTGTGGTCTGAGACTGAAAAGGAAGCAAATGTGGAAAACTGAGTCTCAGAAACCAAATCCTGAGTATGCCTGCAAGTGAACCAAATGAGGAAAAAAAGACCACAGAGTGGAGAGCAAGGGAGAAGACTAAGGCTATTTACCAGAAAAGCATCCAGAGTTGTAAGAATAGTGTTGGGAAGGTGAAAATCTGTCAGGAGCTATAAATCGTGAAACACAGGAAGAACTGGGGAAAAGGCAGTCCCCTGTGTATGTCTGTGTTAAGCGAGGAGATGGAGGGTAGAAGGACAAGGCAAAGGAATCATTGGGATGATAGGTTTGAAATCCCAGGTGAGCGAGGGTATGCCAGAGTGCCTAGCTCTTCTAAATGATGCATTTTGCACTTTGACTTGTTGAAATGTCCAGAAGCTGTTGAGATCATCTGCAGGTGGAATTGCCCTCAATCCTTGAGGCGCTGCAGAGTGAGAGGGTTGCTGGCAGACTGCAGACAGGCAAGCACCCTAGTTTCCAAAAGGGAGGAGAGGGTAGGTGAGGGACTAACTAGAATGGAAGCGTTTGCCTTTGATCTCAAGCCGCGTTCTAGAAATAATAGCTTGTATGCTTTCCGACAAGAGGGGGTATCATTGGTGACGACTGTGAATTCCTGGTGAAGTTCTAGTGCTCTCATCCCTGCCTTCTGGAGAGCTGATGTCGGTGGATTTTCACACGGCGCTTGCCAGCCTCCACGTCTGTTATTGTGGACCAGGTGTGGAGTGCGGAGAGGGTGCTGGTGGACCAGTGTAGTGAGGTGTGGCCCTAACCCGTGTGAATGGCGACTGCATGGATCAGCGCCCTCCACATAGAGGCCTTGGGAGGCTCACTCTCTCCCCCTGGCCCGCTCGATGTTTATCTGCATGAGGACATTTGTCAGGCAAGCAGATGTAGGGAGAAATGGACACTAGGAGTTACAGCAAGTGGGCTAGCGAATCAGAACCCTCAGCTGTCCAGATGGGCTCACGGATCACGCCAACTTGAATGAGGCTTGAATTTTTAATGGAGAAACATAAATGTGCATGTAGGTTCATAAAGGTCAGAGAAGACTGAGCTAAACAGGGACTCAGAGACTTGAGTCCCTATGAACTCCTGGAGAAGTTCTATCACTCCTGTCCCTGCCTTCTAGCGATCTAATGTAGGTGATGGAGAGTAGACGGACTTGCAGCATGGCAGTGCGTAACTGCAACTTGGTATGAGTTAGTGATGCGCTACTGCAAAATCTGCAGATCTGTTAGTGCCCCTTAGTGAAAGCCAGGGCCACTGGGGCGGAGGTGCTAGCCCTGCCAGGCTTGCTGTCAGTCATGTGCTACCTGGAGGGTTGTATTTGGGATCCCACGTTTTTGAGAGTTGCCAGCAAACTGCAGATTGCTACTTGAGAAGCTGTCACAGCATAGCAGATATGCTGGTGCAGTCCCCCACAGACTGGTTTTTGAGTCCTTAACTCCTGTGACTCCATTCGGTGCTCCTGATTCTGCTTCTAGGGCACCTTCAGGTTAGGTGCTAACAGGTATTGTCTGACTGCACCAGGAGACAGTGAAATGGTCGCCTCTCTTCTGTGCCTTTAGGGTAGCCAGGCTACCAGATGAGTGCATGTGTGCTCAGAGCAGTCGTCTCTATGTGCATTCGTGTTAAGTCAGGATGTTCCAGGTTAATTCCTGCAGTTGACGTTTTGAAAAAAATGGACATATAGCAAAATTCACAATTTTGGTGTATAGTTCAATGAATTTTTGTTGACAGACTCAGAGCATCAGTTAATACCATGATCAGGATGCACAGCAGTTTGCAGTTTCCTGTCTAACCTAAACGGGCGGTTTCCAGTAAAGGCAGTTCTCGTTATACCTTTCAGTATTTCCAAAGTGGTGTGCAGAGGCTGGAGAATGGAGTCCACTTTGGGCCCACTGTTGTGGTCTGCTCTTACAGTCCTGACCTGCTGTCTCTGGTGTTAGCAGCCCATCCCACTTTTCTGGTATCTTTTTCTTTGATAAGCTTGTGGGGCCTTGCCTCATTCACTTTTTTTTTTTTTTTGAGTTGGAGTCTCACTCTGTCGCCCAGGCTGAAGGGCAGTGGCATGCTCCCGGCCACCGCAGCGTCGACGTGCTGGGCTCGAGCGATCCTTCCGCCTCGGCCTTCCAAGTAGCTGGAACTACAGGCGCCCGGCTAATAATTTTTTGATTGATTGTAGAGATGAGGTCTCGCCAAGTTGCCCAGGCGGGTCTTGAACCTGCGGGCTCAGGCCATGCACTCACCTCGGCCTCCCGAAGGCGTGGGATGACAGGCGGAGCCACTGAGCCCGGCTCATCTCATTCATTTTGAAATGGGCCTGACAAGATGAGTGGCTATATTAACTTCTTGGTCAGATTGCTCAAGCAGCCACACACACCTTACTTCACCTTAGCTGGAAGAGCATCGTAAGCTGTGTGTCAGCTGCTTTGCTGTGCATGCAGCACCCTCCCATGAGCTCCCATCCAGCTGCCTGATCAGAAACAGTCACAAGGCTGGTCTTGTGTGACTTCTCAGAAGAAGGCTTACCAGCTGCCCACAGATGATCTGGTTAACCGTGTCTAGAATTTTGCCAGAAATATATCCTGCTCCGTAGTCTGAGGGTTAGGTCCGTCCTGGAATAGCAGCTGTGGTCCTTGAGGAACTTACCTTTTCGTTGATGTTAGCCCTAGAAAAGGTCTTGTCCAGCCTTGTGTCTGCACAGCCTATCTGCAGTTTGCAGGAAACACTTCAGAAGCAAAAGTTACCCTCTTTATGATTTCTTCCAGTTACAAAAGTTATACTGACTCGTTGTAAAATCAACAAGCCCCTCTCTCCCCACCTCCAGGAAAAACTTCAGAGAAGTGTCAGGTGAGTTCCCCTGTGGTCCCGTCCCCAGAGATAGCTGCAGGTAATAGTTGGGATGTTTCTGAAATTTTTAATTTTTTAAATATACATGTATAGCTTTTTTCTTAAATACCATGGTGGTTTTTACCTTGCTTTCACTAGCCTTTTTCACTTAACATGACGTCTTAGTGGTTTTTCCACATGACTCATACAGACTTCCTTCATTCTTTTGATTGTCTGGATACATGGTCTGTCACCCAGGCTGGAGTGCAGTGGCACAGTCAGAGCTCACTGCAGCCTTGACCTTCTG